TATATATATATATATATATATACACATATATATACATATATACAAATAATTATTAGAATGTCCGGCTCTCATCTATATCCAATTTCCTGTTGTTCTTACAGGAGCCCGGCCCTGAAAAGGCACGACACTCCTTCAAGATCGCAATCAGGCTCTGGTCTTATGAATGCACAATCTCCCAAGCCCACTACTAATGATGGAGACAGTGTAACAGGTGAAGATTACTAATCTATACATGATTTATGTGTATTTTTTTCGGTATGGAATTAATGCGGACTTAGTGGTAAGGTTTAATTATGAGCAACATTCTGAGTCTAAGTGTGCCGCTTGTTCCAAGCCCAATGCAAATGCTTCAATCACTCATTTCTCCGCCATCTCGTCCTTATGCAGACACGGGTATTCGGACAGTAGACACAACCACCCCGAATGCAGATAGAAGGGCGCGGACGCTGTCTAATCATATGGTTACACGTCCCTCACCGACTGACTTGAAACTCCGGGGCATACTTAAAGTTGGTAGGTATAAAATCGTATCGTTGATATTGAAGCTTAGCGAATTGCACCAATTCGAGTGGCACAGTCGTGGTGATTCTTGGATGTCATAATCGAAAATCCTTTCCTATGCACTGACGTGACTCTTTGTATCGATAATAGCACACGTCGTACCTCAATTGATACCTACTTCATTGATCGATGTCCACAGGGAGCAAAATGAACCTAGAGGCAGAAACGTTGTCGGAAATTTCTAAACGTCTCAGTATCAAGGTAGGACTATTTACAAGTATACATCAAGACCTTTACTGCATACTTCATTGTCTTCTACACTCAATGCGGCCCAATTGCGATGCCCAACCCGTCATGTATCGATCTTTCTTATATTTACTTCAACCCTTGTTTTTGAAACTGTTCAGCTCTCCGAGAGGCCTCAAAGACACGAACTAATCGGTATGTACTTTGAGCTCGCTAAAGTATCGAAGTTTCGTCATCTTGAGAAATAAGTAGTTGTTGATACAACCGCAAGACGCAAGCGCTATGTACCGAACGCACATCAAAGTGCAAGTATATCTGTTAGCGAACTAACGTATTCGATTCATTTTAATCCGAGCAGAGAGGCGAATTCTATTCAACGAAAGCGTAACAGTGGCAAGAACATATACCGCAGCGGACTACAATCGCACGGCTGAGAAGCCCTGGACAAAACTGACAGTTGGCGATAAGGTAATATACAATGAAGAAATGTACCCAGGCCTGTGTATAATTGAAATTTCGAGTGTATATCTAATATGTATGTATCATAAAGCTAGCTTTATAATAATTATTTATTTACAGCGAATGACCATTCAAAATTAAACTACACAGGAGGCAATCAAAGCGGAGCTGAACCAATTCAAAGCCACCGAGATGGAGGTCCACTCGGCAAGTGCTCGATATACCAGATTTCATTGCTAGTTGTATTTAATAAAAAAATCAACAATAGGGTGAACTCATATTAGAGAATGCGAACGGATGCTTGCTCTGGATCACAGTGTGTCAAACGCCGCTACTCTACATATCTAGTAGTAGTCGGCTCGAGCAGTCGAGCCACCATTCCACCACACACAATAAAATCGATATATCCGCCAAAAGTTCATTGCCCTATCATTTCCACTGTCTTCCACAATCCACATCATGGCTTCAAAATCCATGATTGCATGGCAGCAAGTGTATGTAATTTTTTTCATAACACGGTGTTAAAAATAGTTATTGTATAATACATACATATTTATAAAAAATTCCTCACTACTCTCTTAGAGAATAGAGTCTGTACTCTGTAGAGTAAAATGTTCCGACAATGTATCAATTTTTAATTTTTATATATTGTTTGTTTGTTTTTTAAAAACAAAAATAAAACAAAAACAAAACAAAAAAAACAGGGGAAATACAATTGTACATATTTTTAACAGCTTAGGGTGGTTCTTAACGAGAGGTCTCCATTAAAAGTAAATAAAATTAAAGGGTATTTTGCGATGGTCCTTGGCTCAGTTTTTTTTTTTGCCATCCCAGCCGTTGGAATTGAGACCGTAGATTTTGAGAATAAATTCATCCTAGTGGTTGATGAAATCCAATAAAAATTAGTATACCTATCCTAAACCCTTTGGCGTTTACCGGGATTCGCGGGTTAAGTGAGAAGAGGTTTTTATCGTGATTTGCTTGATAGGCCTTCTGGAGACGGTCCGCGGTAGATTGGAGGATGTCTGCGTTAGTGGAGTTGACAAGTGGGCTCAGTAGTACATCCATGCTGCGTGCAAGAATTTTTGGCGCTCGTTCATGTGTGCAGCGGGCCTCCCGCTTGGTGCGGAGATAGTGAATTAAAGCTGCTTTCGTTGCGTCGGGATGTTGTTGGGAGCGGGGGTCGATGTTTTCATCAAGCTGCCATTTCCACGTAAGGGCTGCATGTCGTTTCACCTGGGCGACATAGTCGCTAGGAACACAAAGGCGGATGAAACTGGTGGAGCTTCCGCGGCGATTTGGTTGAGATACCGATTTAGACGGAAGATACCAGAGAAAGTGGTGGCGATTGAGGGCTGGTTGGGCATGCCAGTATTTTTCAAATACTGATTGGGATGGGGGCTTGCCGTTAGGGAAAATTGCTCTGAAGAAGAACCATACCGAAG